AACGTTTCGAGCGATTTTTTTTCTATCATAGCCAAGAAGAATTCTAAACTCTGCAGCAATTAAAAATAACTCTCAATAAAAGTGTACGTCTTTACGAGCTGCTTTTTAAAATCTTTAATCTACCTCTTTCAGTAAACTGGTGGAACATAGCTAATAATAGAAAAGGTCGTTTGTTATTATTTTCCGCCCTTCTACCCAAGATTCGACTTGTCGAAAACAGGTCCGTGATACTGCATACGTCCATACCCGGTAAAACAGTTACATTCAGGAACTTATTGAGATCAGCTGCTGGGGGAGGCAGTGGTGCTGGTTTTGACAAACTTTTGTCGCCATGGTTATAAATTTTGTTTTATCATTTATGTTCTTAATTTTAATGATCAAAATTACAGATTACGAAAGTTATAAAAGTTATAAACGTCTCGTGACAAAGGACAGAACGTGTATCTATTATACTATACTGATATGCATACAAAAAGAACAAGTTTATTTGGTGTTTTTCTACTATCATGAACAGTTTATATTTTTCAAACTAAGTCAATAAAATCACCCGGGATGACTTGTAAATAACATCTTAGTTGGTGCCAACAGTGGACAAAAACCATTTCAACCGTTGTCGTAGCCCGTTGTCACTATCAAAAGCTCTCTATTGGAATGTCTGTTGAATCGCGAGGCTAAAAGAGATAATTTGAAACAAAACAATTCTAGGTCATTTATGCGAAATGTTGTATAACAAATTATTAGCTTCTAAAAAACAATACCTTCTACAATTTATTGGCAACAAAAGAAATAGTAACCATGAATTTTAACTGTAGCAGCAAAATTTCTTGACGGAAAAGTACCATCCACTTGGGCTGTAATAGTCTTCGAGTTGCTTTTTATGGGAAAAACCATATTTTCTGAATTAACCGATACGGCAGTTTGAGGGTATGTGCAGTACATTAGTTGCCTTTCGTCTTCAATAATACCACTTGCGCCCTTTAGATAGACGTTTATGAAACTTTCGACCCTGTCGTTGGTGTTTGACCAGAATAAACTTTCGCAAAAACCACGATGTCAACTGCATCACTGGGAACTCCGGCATCAGCTAGAGAGATCACAACTCCTGTTGGGGTGACATCGTGATTCATACTAGAAAGCTCGTGGAACTAGTAATAAACAATTAAAAAGTCTGGTGAGGAATAAATTTTTATCATCACCAATGGCGTAACTAGAACGATGATTGCTTTCACGTAGTTTAATGTGGTCTATAGAGTTTCTTGTGTCTGCAAAATAATGCGCCCTTTCCTAAAACCTACAACTCTCGTCATGAACTGCTTTAGATACCGCTAACAAGTGAACTCAGGCAATTATTTGCAAGTGGTTTAATTAATAAACATGCAATACCTACCGTTTTATGACAATCCAGTGGAACTTTGAAGTTTTTGCTTTTTATCATCTAAATCATTGTAGCAAACATAGTTAAATTTTTAATACATTAACTTTGCCAACTGATGTATAAAATAATTTTGCATGCGTTGCGACTGTACACAAAAAATGACAAGGCTGTATTTTCTGCATTTTACAACATTTTGTAAACCAAACTTTGCAATTTTACTAATTCCAGTATGCTCTTACTAGCTGTGGTGACGATCATGGTGATTGCTAATGGCCCATTTACACTACGCGATTTGTCGTATGATAAACAACGTGTGGAAATCATCCCACAAAATGCTGGAGGATGACTGAAAGCGACCTGAAACAACTGTCCATCTTCCACACCAAGAACCTTAGAAGAATCCTGCGAATATTTTGGCCCGAGACCATCTCCATCCAACAACTTCTCGCCCGCTGCAACCAAGACAGCATGGGCACCATCGTCATGCAAAGGCGATGGAGATGGATCGGATATGTGATGAGAAGAGAACCTGGTAACATTTCCTGCACAGCCCTCCACTGGACGCCAGAGGGGAAACGGAAACGGACAAGAAACGGACACGGACCCAAGAACACCTAGCGTCGAACCGTAGAAGGGGAGCTTAAGACCCTCCATCACACATGGGGACTGTTCAAAAGCTGGCCCAGAACAGACAGGAGTGGAGTACCTTTGTTTCCGCCCTACATGTCAGCCGGCATAACGGGCATGAGTGAGTGAGTGATTTGTCGTATATGATTCGTACCCTGGCGTATGTGAACGTATGAACACACGTACCAGCGTGACACTTTAAATTCCAACCTGAACTAAATTGAATGAAGATTATGGCATATAGGCCCTTTTTTGCATTTGTCTAACGTCTGAATTCTAAAAGCTCACTCACACTCAAACTTATCGAGTGGGAGATCTTAATCTTCTCATAACGTTTCAATGGCGGTATTTCCAGCCGAATAGGGGCTTGATTTTTAGTGATTTACCTTATATCATCATTCATCTAATCAGAAAAAAATTTTTCATTGATCAACATTAACGAAATTTATATGTCACACTCAATGAGTGTGAGTGTGAGTGAGCTTTTTGAATACAGGCGTAAATCTTATAATGGAATACAACTAATCGTGTAGTGTACATAGACCTTATCATGTACTCAAATACCTCACTCTTGTATAACAATTATTTATTCTACAAGAAAATTTTGATTATAGTTTCATGTTCTCTTTAGGAACTGGGAACAGTACACAAGAGAATTAACGCTGAATTGCTCGAAAATTCGTGGAAATCTGAAAGGGAGATATAAAACAACTGGGTGATGTTTACGATGGATTGGCTTCTATGAAGGTAATGTACCTCAGTATCTTACCTATATAGAGTCTTTAGAGCGCGATAAATGCGTGATGTCGTGCAGTCACTCCAGTATACACATCAGTGACTGAGAAAGCGAGCGCGTCACGTCTGAACCACTGAACTATGACGAACACAACCGGAATGATAACTGGTAAAAAACATTTTTGCAATCAGGTGACTTCTCCTCCTAATGACAAACAATCAAAAGACTCTTAGGGCATTCGCTGGAGGCAATTTTCGTGTGCAGCAATTCAATATTCTTTGCGGAAAGTGTTCATCGCTATAAACAGCTTTTTAAGCCTCTTACATCATCATATCAACAGATAAAGAAAGAGTAAAATGTGAGTGGGTGAGGTGCCGTTCGAACAAGTTTAGTACTACAAAAACTGCCTAAAATAGCCAAAACGCTTCTTGACGTTTCGACCTAAGGGCTTTCGTCAGGAGAGTTAGGGGAAAATATATGTTTTCTATGGGGGCAAAACACGTGATAAAAATGGGCCAATAGAAAACAAAAAATCAAATCAAATTTTTCCAGTGTGACTCAAAATCAGGAATATTCTGTCAAAACAACATTCCTACCACATAAGTAAAAATGTTGGAAATTTAAGGTCATGTAAAAGTCAGGAATAATCTATATCAGAAAACGATATTGTAACAAATTACAGCAAAAAAGCTAATGTTCGTTTTCAAATGTCTGAATATGAAATTAAGTCCATACAGCATTTGCATGATTCATCAGCAGAAAGTCATTATAAACTATCCAGTATATTAACTGATTATTGACCGAGCGTGAGGTCTCTACTGTGAAATATCAGATATGGCTGAACTACATGAGACATCTGGGATACTGGTCCAAATACGAAATAATTATACGGACCACCGTCCGATTATGGATTTCACGGACCGCTAGTCAACCAATGACAACAAAGGATTTTAAAAACCATAAAAAATGTGTGATACACAAGCTGTTTCATAATATCTCTGGACGGTTTAAACAGTCATGCGCGATAGTTGAGTGCGGGTGTGAATAATAATAATATAATTTCGGTTAAACTTAACGCGTATTTCAACGACCAAACCCAATTGAATATGAACGAAGCTACCGGCGACCGTCTACGCAATCAAAACGCGTGTAAACTCTATTATGCAACCCACTGCTCCAAATCACTGAGACTACCCTTCATATATATGTGTGAAAATTGTAATGCCAAGATTGAAAGTGCTGGTTCTCCTAAATTTTTTTTTTAAATATCAGAGATTGGTTATAGTTCTTGTATTTAGTTATCTATATAGATATTACAACAATAAAAAGTCATAAAAACCAGTAAGTGTCATTACAGAGGACAGTAGACTATGAAGGTATATCTTAAGGTATATCACTAGACTATGTTGCTATACATACGAATGGAACAAGTTTTCGTGAAGTTTGACTCACAAGCTCTCTACGGTTATATACAGTATATATTTTCAGGCTGGGTCCACGGTTGTGTAGATTCGCCCTAAACGACCTACTAGTTTGTTAAAACACACACACATGGTTGTTTTGCGCTGTTAAGGAACAAGAACTATTTAAGAATGGTAATCAACCGTCATGCTTTGCAACTATTATTGCTAACATCTTGCCTTGAAAGTCATCCACTAACTGTCTTGCATTTTCATTAGAAGGGTAAATTAGCAAATAAATTTCAAATTTCGCATAGATTATAAACAGAAATCTAGACTTTTAGGCGTGAAATGTGAAATTGATTTGACCACGCAAAGCATGATGGTAAACACACAATCCTTAAAATATTCCTTGCATCAATAAACACCGACAAATACATCTTATGCAATCTCCCAGCTATCTTTATAGTTTATCCTTGTACCAAACTCTTTGTATCCTCTCGTGTTAACGTCGCACGCAGTATACGAAAGGACCAGGGCACGAGTATGAACCGACTAGGCATATGCTAGGAACCGATTAGAGGGGTAAAAATTACACTACGACTGCACAAACTATTGCCGAAAATTATGGTCCTTTTATTAAGAAGAGCAGTTCACCAACGTTTATAATTTATAGAATGATTATCAGGTTAACTAACTGTTCTTTGTACAAGTTTGTCTAGATTACTAGATGATCCTCTGGTAGAATACCATGTTGTGAAATTCAGATAATTGTTTTCCTTACAAACTCGTTGTTCATAAAGTTAAAATATTGGTATAATTTCTCATAACATTGCTTTCCTCTCCGTAAAATAGTTCTGTATCAATCTTTATTAATGAAAGAGTCCCACAGCGCTTCCTCAGCAAAAGGTCTCTTATCAATCTTGTGACTAATCAGCCAAGACACAAACTTTCGAGCTTTACGATCACCAAGTTTCTTCAAATTCACAGGGTTTCCTTTTAAAATATTTCTCATTCGATCTAACGAAGATCCAAAAGGGTGTTCACCTTTTGTTAAGATGAAGAAAGCAATCATACCCGCTACCTGGACATCCGATTTTCTTTTGAAACGACTTTTTTCTTTTGTGTCTATTGCTTCAATTACTTCTGTTGGCATCCATCCGTAAGTGCCTTTAACATCTGTTTTAACCGTCGTTTCATCCTCTTTTAGAACGCGGCTTAATCCAAAATCTGCCAATTTCATGCGACCCTCGATATCAACCAGGACGTTTGATGGTTTTAGATCTCTGTGTAATATTCTTTTACCATGAAGAAATTCAAGTCCGATTAGAATTTCCTTAATCATTCGTGGACCATGCTCTTGTAGATGTTCAATACTGGATGCACGAACAAGTTCACTCAAGGTTTCTTCGCAAAGTTCAAGAATAAGATATATGAAGGTATCGTCACGGTGAAAATGTCGATAACTCACTATAAATGGTGAGTCGTTTGTTTTAATAAGTTCCATAATTTCCTTTTCGTTTTCAGCTACTTTATCACACGTTTGAACCAGCATTTTCTTAACAGCAACTTCAGTCCCATCCTTCATGAGACCAACATAGACATTTGAATATCCACCATCGCTAATTCTGAATTGCTTGTCGGCGACAAAAGCCTGTATCGGAATGCCAATATTTAAAAAAAAACAAACAACACGATAAATATTCCACAGTGAGAAGAAAAAAGCAAGAACACATTCACAATTTAAAAAGTACATTCTCAACTTCTAAATATCGAAATCTCAAATCAATACTATATTTGCAAGTGATTTTATCAGAAAGACATAATTCGAATGAAAATCCTGTATACGTTGTTCATAATAGGCTTATGCGAGCCGGGGCGGTGGAAGCTGCTGCTTGAGCCTAGCTCCCCGGTGTTCCGTTCATTCTTTGAGCGAAATATTCTGGAATAAAATAATAATAATAATAATAATAATAATAATAAAATTAATAATAATAATAATATAATAATATATATAATAATAAATATAATAATAATAATAATAATAATAAAATAATAATAAATAATAAAATATAATAATAATAATAATAATAATAATAATAATAATAATAATATAATAATAAATATAATAATAATAATAATAATAATAATAATAATAATAATAATAATAATAATAATAATAATAATAATAATAATAATAATAATAATAATATTCTATATTCTACAGGTTATATAAAAAACATAACCCCCATTGAAATCATCTTTTGTTGGACTTTGAATGCCGGTTAATGCCAGTTAAAATATAAAGAACCAGGTCAAATGTTAGCCTTAATAAAACAGGAGGTTTATTGCTAATAATTTTGTTGCTCAGTATTACACGATACGAGGATATGGCAAAATTTGTACGCTGCCTTTAGTGTGGCAGACATAGGGAACGTGGTCAAGCTATTTTTTCAGCTTACCCGGTTGGTGACTCAGAGTAGCAACATCACAATATTCATTTCAGAGATACACCAATGTAGAAAAGCGTTAGAATGAAAAAATTATACTCAAAAGTAACGGCTCAAATTACGTTAGCCATGCAGGATAGTAATTTTGATTACTATACTACTCCGGCATGAGGGACGGAGTTGAAAATTCGCCTAAGTTTTGTTTTGTTTTTATTTGTTTTTTTTTTCATTTAATATATTTGAAAAGTGTACGTAACCGTATCTACTATGTCACAGTTTTGTCCCCCCAGAAGTTGTGGTGCACAGCTCAAATCTCTGACTAATTTACCGATGCGCGATTTGATTTCGCTTGCATGATACCGCAATTTCTCCTAGAGGAACCAATGAACCGTTCTTTTGATGCTTTTGGATTAAGTTCAGATTTAATTGGGGTAAGAATATATTTAACACATGTAGATTCTGGTCCTATTTTACTAATATCGCTGCTATTTCGCCGTTTAATAAGATGTGGTCGTGTATGGGCGCGTTGACACGTCGGCGCGAATTCCACAGTGTAAAACAAAGTGAACGTATCATGCGGTTTATTTACGTTTTTAAACAATTGAACTTCTATACTTTTTAAAGTGCGATGTGCTTCTGAATGTCTCGATCAAACAACATTTAGGTTTGCAAGGCATCTAAATGAGTATGGGTCCGAAATATTTAAAGCAACACTCAATCCTCGTTTCTTGTTTCAATGTAATTGTGAATGTAATTTGATTTGAGCTTGATGTTGCACGATTTGAGCACAAAGTATGATGTTAAACACACAATCTTTAAAATATATTTTGCATCAATAAACACTGACAAAATACATCGCATGCAATGTCGCATCCATCCCCATTATAATTCATCTCCGTACCAAACTCTGCCAATTCATGTGCGACGGCACATGCGCGCTGTCTTTAGGGGGCTAAATTCCTTTCAAACAAAACTCACACCACGGAAAAGCAATATTTTAATTTACAGTAACGGTAAGATTCCTCAATATTTTTGCGAACTTAGCAAAATGGATAGAGAATTGATAGATTAAACAAGTTAAACTGATGACCGAACTAAAAAATGACCATAAACATGAACCACGCCTACCTCCCGGAAAGTTTACTCTATGACTGACTCGCTCAAATTTTCATCAATCTGCACAATACTGCAAAGAAATTTTGCACTAAAAAGATTTCTCCAGGAAAAGAAAAACAAAACAACTGAGCCGCTTGTGTAAAATTATAACTACACGTTGCATAGTTAAATCTTAGTTAACTCAGAAATACACGACTCCGACTTCTGCCCTTATTACAGTTAGAAGTTAACTAGTCTTTTATACAACTGGCCCCTGGTAGTAAAACGCTACACCAGCTGTTGTAGAAAAAATCGATTGAAAAATTCGGAAGACAAAATTTTTTTGCGCAAACTTTGCCACAGCAACTCCCCTCCCCCCAATTGAAAAAGACCCATCACGCCATTAGTTGTGTAACCTACCCAATCTAACATCTCTAAACTAATCCATATATATATAGGTAAGGTTTGGTGCGCATCTGAATGGTTAATCTTTGTTTTGTATATCGCGCGAGTTCCGTAGTCGCAGTTTGGTAGGGAATTGATTATGTCACCGATTGGCTGCAAAATGCGCGTCATCGAGCTGCGATGTCCTTTGTTTCTAAACATCCCCATTGCCTTAGGTTATATTATCTCTTATAATATTGTTAAATATTACCTCTTCTAACTGGTTACAGTTCGTAGTTTTCAACTTCTTAATTTTCTCACGATGTTTTATGGACTTGTTAAGGATATTTGTAATTTCATCATGCCCAAGGTGAATGCTCCATTCAAGAAGATTTATTTCTCGCCCTTTAACAATGATCGTTTGCTCTCTCCACATCGCGTTGTCTTTCTCATAAAGAAGATTGACCAAGGCGACGAAGTTGTTTTCAACAGCTATTTGGAGGAGTGCAAAGGCAGCGGTGCCAACATCAGCACCCTGTTCAACTAAATACTTGACAGTTACTAAATCACCAACACGAAAAGCATGGTGCAAGACTGTCCCTCCGTTAGTATCATTGGCATTTACATCAGCACCGTTCTCGACAAGATATTCTAAGATTTCTAGCGAACCTTTTACAACAGCTCTGTGCAACACCGTCCATCCGCTATTCTTTTTTCCATTTACATCAGCGCCATTTCCCACAAGATATTTCACCATGTCTAGCTTACCTTCAAAAACAGCAGAGTGCAACACTGTCTCCCCGTCATTATCCTTGGCATTTACATCAGCGCCGTTCTCGACAAGATATTTTACCATTTCTAAGTTACCTTCAGTAACAGCAGTGTGCAGCACTGTCTCACCGTCATTATCCTTGCCATTTACATCAGCCCGCATTTGAAAAAGATATTCTACCATTTCTAGCCTACCTCGATTAACAGCAAGGTGCAGCACTGTTTGCACTGTTTTCCCGTTAGTCTCCTTACAATTTACATCAGCGCCCTTCTCAACAAGATACTCTACCATTTCTAGCGAACCTTTCACAACAGCACTGTGCAGGACTGTCCATCCACTATTCGTTTTTCCATTTACATTAGCGCCATATCCCACAAGATATTTCACCATTTCTAGCGTACCTTCAAAAATAGCAGAGTGCAGCACTGTCCACCCATCGGTCTTTTTGCCATTTACATCTGCCCCCAGTTCAACAAGATGTTTCATCATCTCTAAAGAACTATACGAAACAGCATAGTGCAGTACTGTCCAGCCGTCTGTAGTATCCTTGCTGTTTACAACAGCGCCATTTTCAACAAGATATTTCACCATTTCTAGCGTACCTTTATAAACAGCAGAGTGCAGCACTGTCTCCCCGTGAGTATCCTTGGCATTTACCTCAGCGCCCTTCTCAACAAGATATTTCACCATTTCTAGCGTACCTTTATAAACAGCAGAGTGCAGCACTGTCCACCCGTCAGAACGCTGGCCATTTACATCAGCGCCCTGTTCAACGAGATATTTCACCATTTCTAGAGTACCTTCAGAAATAGCAAAGTGCAGTACTGTCTCCCCGTGAGTATTCTTGGCATTTACATCAGCGCCATTTCCCACAAGATATTTCACCATATCTAGCGTACCCTCAGAAACAGCAGAGTGCAGCGCCGTCTTCCCGTGAGTATTCTTGGCATTTACATCAGCGCCATTCTCAACAAGATATTCTATCATTTCTAGTGAACCTTCTCCCACAGCACTGTGCAGTACTGTCAATCCGCCTATCTTTTTTGCATTTACATCAGCGCCATTTCCCACAAGATATTTCACCATTTCTAGCGTACCTTTAGAAACAGCAGATTGCAGGACTGTCTCCCCGTGAATATTCTTGGTATTTACATTAGCGCCCTTCTCGACAAGATATTCTACCATTTCTAGCGAACCTTTTACAACAACACTGTGCAACACTGTCCATGCGTCGTACTCTTTTCCATTTACATCAGCGCCCTTCTCAACAAGATATTTCACAATTTCTAGCGTACCTTTATAAACAGCAGAGTGCAGCACTGTCTCCCTGAAAATATCCTTGGCATTTACATCAGCGCCCTTCTCGACAAGATATTTCACCATTTCTAGCGTACCTTTATAAACAGCGGAGAGCAGCACTGTCCCCCTGTGAGTATCCTTGGCATTTACATTAGCGCCCTTCTCAACAAGATATTTCACCATTTCTAGCTTATTTTTATAAACAGCAGAGTGCAGCACTGTCTTCCCGAGAGTATCATTGGCAATTACATCAGCACCGTTCTCGACAAGATATTCTACCATTTCTAGCGAACCTTTTACAACAGCACTTTGCAATACTGTCCATGCGTCGTACTCTTTTCCATTTACATCAGCGCCATTTCCCACAAGATATTTCACCATATCTAGCGTACCTTTATAAACAGCAGAGTGCAGCACTGTCTCCCCGTGAGTTTCCTTGGCATTTACATCAGCGCCCTTCTCAACAAGATATTTCACCATTTCCAGCGTACCTTTATAAACAGCAGAGTGCAGCACTGTCCACCCGTCAGAACGCTGGCCATTTACATCAGCGCCCTGTTCAACGAGATATTTCACCATTTCTAGAGTACCTTCAGAAATAGCAGAGTGCAGTACTGTCTCCCCGTGAGTATTCTTGGCATTTACATCAGCGCCCTTCTGAACAAGATATTTTACCATTTCTAAGGTACCTTCGGTAATAGCCGAGTGCAGAACTGTCTTCCCGTCATTATCCTGGGCATTTACGTCAGCGCCCTTCTCAACAAGATATTTTACCATTTCTAAGTTACCTTCAGTAACAGCTGTGTGCATCACTGTCTCCCCGTCATTATCCTTGCCATTTACATCAGCCCGCATTTGAAAAAGATATTCTACCATTTCTAGCCTACCTAGAATAACAGCAAGGTGCAGCACTGTTTGCACTGTTTTCCCGTTAGTCTCCTTACAATTTACATCAGCGCCCTTCTCAACAAGATACTCTACCATTTCTAGCGAACCTTTCACAACAGCACTGAGCAGGACTGTCCATCCGCTATTCTTTTTTCCATTTACATTAGCGCCATTTCCCACAAGATATTTCACCATATCTAGCGTACCCTCAGAAACAGCAGAGTGCAGCGCCGTCTTCCCGTGAGTATTCTTGGCATTTACATCAGCGCCATTCTCAACAAGATATTCTATCATTTCTAGTGAACCTTCTCCCACAGCACTGTGCAGTACTGTCAATCCGCCTATATTTTTTGCATTTACATCAGCGCCATTTCCCACAAGATATTTCACCATTTCTAGCGTACCTTTAGAAACAGCAGATTGCAGGACTGTCTCCCCGTGAATATTCTTGGTATTTACATCAGCGCCCTTCTCGACAAGATATTCTACCATTTCTAGCGAATCTTTTACAACAACACTGTGCAACACTGTCCATGCGTCGTACTCTTTTCCATTTACATCAGCGCCCTTCTCAACAAGATATTTCACAATTTCTAGCGTACCTTTATAAACAGCAGAGTGCAGCACTGTCTCCCTGAAAATATCCTTGGCATTTACATCAGCGCCCTTCTCGACAAGATATTTCACCATTTCTAGCGTACCTTTATAAACAGCAGAGAGCAGCACTGTCCCCCTGTGAGTATCCTTGGCATTTACATTAGCGCCCTTCTCAACAAGATATTTCACCATTTCTAGCTTATTTTTATAAACAGCAGAGTGCAGCACTGTCTTCCCGAGAGTATCATTGGCAATTACATCAGCACCGTTCTCGACAAGATATTCTACCATTTCTAGCGAACCTTTTACAACAGCACTTTGCAATACTGTCCATGCGTCGTACTCTTTTCCATTTACATCAGCGCCATTTCCCACAAGATATTTCACCATTTCTAGCGTACCTTTATAAACAGCAGAGTGCAGCACTGTCTCCCCGTGAGTATCCTTGGCATTTACATCAGCCCCTTCTCAACAAGATATTTCACCATTTCTAGCGTACCTTTATAAACAGCAGAGTGCAGCACTGTCTCCCCGAGAGTATCCTTGGCATTTACATCAGCGCCCTTCTCAACAAGATATTTCACCATTTCTAGCGTACTTTTATAAACAGCAGAGTGCAGCACTGTCTCCCCGTGAGTATTCTTGGCATTTACATCAGCGCCCTTCTCAACGAGATATTCTACCATTTCTAACGAACCTTTTCTAACAGCATTGTACAACACTGTCAATCCGCTATTCTTTTTAGCTCGCCTGCACTTTAGTGCAAGAGAGCTATTGCTATAGTCTTGGCGTCCGCGTCCGCGTCCCCGTCCCCGTCCCCGTCCCCGTCCCCGTCCCGTCCCCGTCCCCGTCCCCGTCCCCGTCCCCGTCCCGTCCCGTCCCCGTCCCCGTCCCCGTCCCCGTCCCGTCCCCGTCCCCGTCCCCGTCCCCGTCCCCGTCCCCGTCCCCGTCCCCGTCCCCGTCCCCGTCCCCGTCCCCGTCCCCGTCCCCGTCCCCGTCCCCGTCCCCGTCCCCGTCCCCGTCCCGTCCCCGTCCCCGTCCCCGTCCCCGTCCCTGTCCCTGTCCCCGTCACTGTCCCCGTCCGCGTCCACACTACATGATAAGTAGAATGTTAAGATGCCACTTTTATTTTCCCATTATTTTCAACTTATCTACTTAAGGAGTCTATTTGTTGCAAAAGAACCATTTACCAGGGGGGAGTGAACATTATACAACAAAATATAATGATAAGGTCAATGTTAACATGCTATATTTTTTCTATACTTTGGCTTTACATCAGAGGAATCATTATCGATATAAGTCATCAATATGCATTGTGACTATTTAGTGCCATTTGGTACGCATTTATACAATAATAAAGAGAGTTTTGCTCAAAATTATCAAATGATAAGGTGAATGTTAAGCTAATTAGCATAATGATAAGGTCAATGTTAAGATGTTATATTTTTTAAATATTATGGCTTTGCATTGGAAGATTCTTTATAAATATAGCTCATCGATATGTCTTGTGACTATATGGTGACATTTAGTACACATTTACACAAAAATAATGGGAATTTTGTTCAAAATTATCAAATGATAAGGTGAATGTTAAGCTAATTAGCATAATGATAAGGTCAATGTTAAGATGCTATATTTTTTAAATATTATGGCTTTACATCAGAGGAATATTAAAAAAAAGTCATCGATATGCATTGTAACTATTCAGTGCCATTTGGTACACATTTATACAATAATAAAGAGAGCTTTGCTCAAAATTATCAAATGATAAGGCAAATGTTAAGCTTATTAGCATCATGATAAGGTCAATGTTAGAGTTATCCAGAGTTATCACGCTCATTACGATTTTCAGGGCTATTGTGTAGCCCTGTCTTTTTTAGTTCAAAGTTGTAGCTGAATCATATTTAACGAAAGTATTCGTGCAACCCTAAGCCAAATGAGAAACTTTCAAATATTTTCACCTGTATGCTACCATATGTTTGTATTGTACATGTACAATTATAAATTATGAGATTGTGTTGTGACATGCCGTATCAAAATTCAATCGCTTAATATAGAAATCATTCAGGGAGTGAATATATATAAAACATAGTCCAACGTTAAAGTTTAAAGAATATTGTCAGATAATTCGCAATTACAAGCTTTAGCACATAAGTATTTATAAGTAGAAAGCCGATAGGCTCGGAATGCAAAGGCAAATGGCAACGCATGTGACATATATTTGCATATTATTTTATATGTAGATACACATGCAAATATATTATTAAAGCCAGTTAAATTGTAGACAGGGCCCTATAAGATTTATGTACATACCTTTTCGTTGTTTGATGCATAATCCTTTTTTGTGTAGGTATAAAAATCCAATCTTGTCTTTTTCATAAAGCTAGGCGCACACACGATTTTAGTCGGCCGATTCCTGTCTAGATTGTCTAGATGGATGTTTTCATCAAAATGTGGCGACTGGCAATCTATACTTGGTCAGATTAGACCAAGTAGACTCGCGTACACGCGCGAGGCGCGAGCGCCGCGAGAAGGAAAACATGTCTGGGCAAGGGCTGCCTATATGTCTAAACCTGAATGGACCAACTACCGTAAAATCGTTGTGTGTGCGCCCGGCTTAAAGCAGGGCCTTTTGCCTGGTCCGTTAACTTACCTGTTGATATCACGTGCGCGGATTGAAAAAGAAATATTGGTCACAAATAAAACTAATGTAATTTCGAGGCCAGTTTTGGCCAGTAATTCTGAGGTCACAACTAATATCTGAAGTTTGTGCTTAATATTACCTTCCAAAGCGGATTTTAGCCTTGTAGTTTCTAATAAAAAGATCGGTAATTTGTGCTTTATACAGATACCTTTCATACATTCCTTATTCTACACAAACAGTGCAGGCGAGCGTTAGGTGGTTTCAGCACCTCTCTGGTTTGCATTTACATCAGCGCCATTTCCCACAAGATATTTCACCATTTCTAGCGTAGCCTCAGAAACAGCAGAGTACAGCACTGTCTCCCCGTGAGTATTCTTGGCATTTACATCAGCGCCCTTCTCAACAAGATATTCTACCATTTCTAACGAACCTTTTCTAACAGCACTGAGCAACACTGCCCATCCGCTATTCTTTTTTCCATTTATATCAGCGCCATTTTCCACTAGATATTTCACCATTTCTAGCGTACCTTCAGAAATAGCAGAGTGCAGTACTGTCTCCCCGTGAGTATTCTTTGCATTTACATCAGCACCCTTCTAAACAAGATATTTTACCATTTCTAAGGTACCTTCAGTAACAGCCGAGTGCAGCACTGTCTTCCCGTCGTTATTCTTGGCATTTACATCAGCGCCCTTCTCGACAAGATATTCTACCATTTCTAGCGAACCTTTTACAACAGCACTTTGCAATACTGTCCATGCGTCGTACTCTTTTCCATTAACATCAGCGCCCTTCTCAACAAGATATGTCACAATTTCTAGCGTACCTATATAAACAGCAGAGTGCAGCACTGTCTCCCTGTGAGTATCCTTGGCATTTACATCAGCGCCCTTCTCGACAAGATATTTCACAATTTCTAGCGCACCTTTATAAAGAGCAGAGAGCACTGTCTCCCCGTGAGTATCCTTGGCATTTATATTAGCGCCGTTGCCAACAAGATAAATCACCATTTCTGGCGTACATTTATGAACAGCAGAGTGCAGCACTGTCCCCCTGTGAGCATCTTTGGCATTTACTTCAGCACCCTTCTCAACAAGATATTTCACTATTTCTAGCGTACCTTTATAAACAGCAGACAGAGTGCAGCAATTTCCCCCTGTGAGTATCCTTGGCATTTACATTAGCGCCCTTCTCAACAAGATATTTCACCATTTCTAGCGAATCTTTATAAACAGCAAAGTGCAGCACTGTCATCCCGAGAATATTCTTGCCATTTACATCAGCGCCATTTCCCACAAGGTATTTCACCATTTTTTGCGTACCCTCAGAAACAGCAGAGTGCAGCACCGTCTCCCGGTGAGTATCCTTGGCATTTACATCAGCGCCCTTCTCAACAAGATATTCCACCATTTCTAGCGAACCTTTTCTAACCGCACTGTGCAACACTGTCGATCCATTATTCTGTTTTACATTTAATTCAGCGCCATTTCCCACAAGATATTTCACCATTTCTAGCGAACCGTCAGAAACAGCAGAGTGCAGCACTGTCTTCCCGTCAGTATTCTTGACATTTACATCAGCGCCCTTCTCAACAAGATAATTTACAACTTCTGGAGTTGATTTTGTAACAGCAGCGTGCAGCACTGTCCACCCGTCAGTACCCTGGCCATTTACATCAGCTCCCTGTTCAACAAGATATTTCACCAATTCTAGCGTACCTTTAGAAATAGCAAGTTGTAGCATTGTCCCCCCGTCTGGATTCCTAGCATTCATGTCTGCACCGCATTGTTTAACTAAGTACTTGACAATTTCTGTGCAACCAACATAAACAGCATGATGTAAGGCAGTATTTCCCGAATCATCTTTACAATGTATATCAGCCCCACAATCTTCAACGAAATATTTCACAATTTCTAATGATCGAGACTGTATTGCACTCTGAAGAACTTTGGAATCGTTTTGAAAATTATGTTCAGGGCCAATTTGAACAAAATACTTAACAAGATCAAATAAACCATTTCTCGTCGCTATCGAGAAAACTGTTTCACCAACTTCGTTGTTGGAATAGATGTCTGCTCCATGGTCAACTAAATACTTGACAATTTTCGGATCTACTGGACTAAACTGAAAAGCACGACAAAGAATTGTCTTCTTCCAATGACCTTCTTTGTTTTCACCACATTCAACTTGCTTTTTTATTTCGTCCCAAAATTTCTGTTTTTCTTCTTCGCAGACATTTATGCTTCCACTTGCCTCTTGCTTCTTCTCAATACCTATATAATAATGCAACATTTAGAAACAATTAAATGACAATTAATTAATCAATTACAGAAACAAGCAGGACGAAAAAAAGTGCCGAAAGAAATTTTATTCCGGGTGAGATCCCTGCAACAATCTATTGACTTTCTGGCCCCTATAGTTTTTGTGGTCAAAACAGGCGCGCGCATAACATTACCAGAAATATGCGTCATGGTGATTTGCATAAAACTTGTTTGCGTTTAAATTTCAACAATAAAGGCTTTTAACTTTAATTTTACTATAAAATACATATTGCAAAAGTACAACAGCTAAAATTGCCGTTGCTCTGGATGTTGCCCACTGTTTGCCGACCTCTGGATCAATAACGCAACGTTTTGATGATCAAATTATTTACCTTGTGTGTTTCTACGTTCCGTCAACTGACTGTGTTCAAATGTGTGTATATACGCTTCGTATCATTGAACTGACTTATGAGGCTGATAATATTTTTTCAAGTGACTGCAGAAAAAATCCGGACCGTATAAGAAAATTTATATCAGGAATACGACAGACAATATCTTTAACAAAATCTCTTGATATATTTAATACACGTCAATTCATCAAGAATCCGGATCGAAATTTTCTTATGAATGTGAGCGATTTTATAAGTTCGTTGAGAGAACACGGCCAAAATTTTGAGCAATATATTTCTGAATTACTGCAGAAATATCCAAGGTAAAAAATTCGGTTACCAAAACGTTTCTAAACAGCTGCTCTATCCATCCAGAGGTCGGCAAACAGTGCTCCAAATCTGTGGCTCTGACGTTATACACAGTGGCGTCGCCAGCATCGATAAGTGAGGTGGACATATTCATATATTCATGCATGTTCACAGACCGTTAAAACAATCAATTTGAAAAGAAATGAATAATGTAAAACACGAATATATGAATAAGTCTCCCCATGCACTTATCAAGCAGGGGACGCCACTGCTTATACGACGTTTTACATTTTCATTCAACTTACTTTATAGCAAAACTCGAAGGCCATTATGTATAATAATGCAAATGGTTGAATGCAAATTAGCGCACAAGCTGAGAGTGCCGTTAAGACTGTTAAAAGACTGGTGAAGAAAGCCAAGATGGCGGGTACAGATCCTTGGCTCGCAATGTTGGATTATAGAAACACGCGAAGGAATGTCAAGTAGCCCGGTACAACGACTGATGAGTCGTCGGACGAGGACAACGCTGCCTTTGCAAAGTACGTTGTTGCAACCGCGAGTCGTAACGGGTATAATGGAAGAGAAGCAAGGAATAAAGTCCAAACAAGCGAGGTACTACAACAAGAATGCTCGAGATCTTCCGCCGTTGGACGAAGGGGATATGGTACGAGTACTGCCGTTGGGTCGTCCTAAGAAACTGTGGCAGAAAGCTCGGGTACAAAAGAAGGTGGGAATGAGGTCTTATGAAGTTTGTACCGAAAGAGGGGTTGTGCTCAGCACAAGCGACAGCCATTTTGTCACCAATTTCAGGTAATAGCGCAAGCATGATTTGTTAGGTTTATGTTTATGTTTATTTTAGGTCATTAATCCTATGTAAATTGTTTTAGCTATGTAAATGTTTTCAACGGTAATTTAGTATAAAAGTAGAGCTTCATCAAAAATATTTTTTTTAGTTGGTTTTGAGGCACTGAAGGTTGGCTAAACATATCATGATTGAGAGATAAAGGTGAATTTTCCCTAAAATCCGGTTCCGCGTCAGGAATTTTTTTGATTGAGTTATACACCTCCCAGAAAGCATACTCTTGTCTTAATTTTTAAAAGTATGTGATAAATAAACGTCTCCATCATACAGGGAGCTTTTGCCAAATATGGCATAATGTGCTATATGTAGTTTTTCCTTGAGCACGAGCAACATTGCATCCTGTGATATAAAAGTAAAAAAATGTTTCAACGGGTTTTATGGTGGATTTGATTAATTTAAATTATTGAATAGACTGAATGGTTCCAACGAAATATTTATTAATGTATAGCTAAAACATGAATATAAACATATATAAACATAAATGTATGAATATGCACACCCCTTCCAACTACGGCCTTGATCAAAATGCTCGAGTTAATAGTGGGTAGGCTTTATACTTCTTTAATAGGACGCTTGTTGTAATTCTTACCATCATCATATTTTTTGTTTTGGATGCCTTTTTCTTGGAGTTCCTCTTGAACTTCTTTCTGTTTATTAGCAACAGACTGGGATTGTTTATTTTTGGATGAAGCGATATTGTCCATTTTCTCTGCAAAGCTTGAAGTTCCGTCGCTGTTCTCAATCTGGGACATCACAACGTTGTCATCTTCCTTGGATTCAGTCATTCTTAAATTTCTATTTACAAGCCCCTTTACTGCTTGTAACTATATATCATATCATCTGGGCGGATCGCCATCTTCGAGAAAAACTATTCAGACGTCGGGCCAAAATAGCGCGCTGGGAACCTGAAAAAACCAAGCTATTATTAATTACTGTTAGCTCCAAATCTAAAGTCTTTAATTACATCGCTCTTCAAACATGTTTAAAACTAAGTAAATTAGCTTGTAGGTACACCACGTAAGTATTTAATACTGCAAAGCTTTCGGTCCGTTAACCCGGGCCATAATCAGTACAATTACTTGAGAACACATCTACGCGTCACATAAATGTCACGTTCGTCGTGATTTGATTGCTCGCGCCATTAATTAAACGGTTTCACTTACAAAACAATTATGAAAAAGAAATACGTCTAAATAATGCGCCCGTCCTAGACAAGTATTTAGCTAGCGACCAACAAAAAGAGCACGCCACGTACTATTGAGTGGCAAAAAAGTGTTATTTTCTGCGGCCACAACTGTTAAACAAAAATGCGTACGTTTAGTCAGCAAATGCGTAATGCGGTTTCCCAGCCTAACCTAGCGATGTCCGTTGTGCAAAACATCAATTCTAGATCTATTTCACGTTCCGATGTCGCTCCGTATAAATATAGCCAACTTGCCAATATATAACAAATTTAAGTCAGTGTTTAACGTGGACCTGCTTGTGAGTAAGCAACTGTCGTTTGAGCCTTTATTAAAATAATTGGCGTGTCAATATCCATTCACGTTGCAACTCTAGAAATTTACATATTTTACGCTATTTTTCTATCAAAGTTTGGTGCATGCGCAAACCAAAGTATAAGTAAAAAAAGATTCTCATGCGTTTAATATGGTCACATTTTGCGCTGTTTGTTTATATCAAGTAATTTGCGCGTGTTTCTTTGCTATATAGTCGCATGATGTAGTTAAGTATCGCTATTTCAAAACGCTGTATTCGCTGATTATTTCGCATGCCAAACTCAGTGTCCTTTTAGTTATGGTATTGATGTATATAGTCTTTTGTATAGTCTTGGTGCATGTTATGCTCATGCAGTATAATTACTCCGGCTTGAGCGACGGAGTTGAAGATTCGCCTAGGTTTTGTTTTGTTATTGTTTTGTTTTATTTTTCGACGTCGCAAGTGTGTTTCAGCGCGAAATATACTTGTATTTGAAATGTGTATGTGACCGTTTTTATCAACGTCACAGTTTTGTCTCCCGGCAAGAGTTGTGGTGCAAAGTTTGGTGCGTGCGCAAACCGAAGTATAAGAAAAAAGAAGATTCTCATGCGTTATTCTCACATTTTGTGCTGTTTGTTTATTTCAAGTAATTTGCGCGTATTTCTTTGTCATAATTTTGTTAGTTTGCATGCGGCATGTTGTAGTTAAGTATCGTCATTCCAAAACGCTAAATTCGCTGATTATTCCGCATGCCAAACTCAGTGTCTTTTTAGTTATAGAGTTGATCATCATGTATATAGTCTTGGTGCATGTTATGCTCATGCAGTTTATATAAGTACTCGTTAATTGTCATATTACATATGTATGCATGTATCGTAATTCTTAATTACCTAGCTTACTCGTTCTATAATTCACTTTACTTTCTTATGACAAGAAGCGGGTAACAACTTTTCACTTGTTTCCGTGGCGGGAAACATTGCATTTGTTTAAAGTTATGTGACTACGAATGAACCAATCACATTTAAAAACCTGCAGCACCTATATAACAACGGGATTTGTCGATGGTGAGCAGACCCAATTATTTGCTGATGCCGAAGGGAGAGGCAAATAATTCATCTGCGATGTTTTGCTTGACCTCGTCCAATAATTGATTATTATATAACTGTTGACCGCCATGGTCATTTTACCGTAAAACAGTTGAGATAATCTGTCCTAAATGAAATGTATGCAAACTCCTTTACAGGTCGTAAACTAATAGAAGTGTAGGATCTCCCTATAAGCATTTTAGTAGGTGATACGAGTTGAATCAGCCCCAAATGTTTGATAATGTTTCGGTGAACAAAAGTTGGCAAATGATACGATGGATTATACGCAATGTAAAGCTTCTCATTGATTGTCAATTATGCAATTTTTACTTGATTTAAACATTTTATTTACAGTTCAATAGTTATTCAAATAAATGAATACAAACATTGACTAAGCATTGTGTCTGAATCTATAGCAAATCCCCCCATTATTTCCCATTATTCATTCCCCCATATTGAGAGTGAATAAGTCCCCTTCACTGGAACACTGCGCCCCGCGTGTGAACCTCTGAGCTATATAAATCTGAAAGGGCTGTCATCCTCACGAAGTGTGCGACAAACCTGGGTTCAGTGGGTTGTCGCAAACAAGAAAAAATTTTAAATTTGAAATCTATGGAGCATCATAAACAAGTTTTTAAGATCACACATCCACCTCTTTGATCTATCTAACCCGTTATATTAGATCGTAATCTAAAGGTATGGTACAGTCCGTATTGTAAACAATATTGTTTATTGTTAGACTTCACACTATTTTGGTTAAACACCTCTCAGTGACAATGAATATGAGCTAGAGTTTATGTTTAGAAAAAATAGGAAACTAGATCAAATCCAAATTTGAGTAATTTTAGATCTAATAATGTAGTAAAATCTAGCAAGTAGTCTAACTATTGTTGAAACACTCTTATTTTTACTTTCATCCTGAACTTAGAACCTGGCACCTGTATGTCTTCAGGGTAATAACCAACCCACCTCCTCTTGGCGCTACGGTATTTGTACATATAATTTAGTTCCAGTTTGTTACGTACTTTGTTTACACTGTTTATCAATTTTAGGATATTGCAATGATCAAATTTATATGCTTATTCTATAAAAGTATTTTGGGTCATATCATACCTATTTTACCCCTCTTTTTGCCCACAGAAGAATTAGACCTTTAGTTATAGGCATTCACTTTGTGAAATCTTGCTAATATTTAATAATAGGGGCCAATATTTTGTTGTTGTTTTACTTTCCAAACCAATTATTGTGTTCATTGGAGTAATTGCATTAATCTTTTAGTCATCTGTACTTGTTTGTTACTCTGCCAGTTTTTTAATGTTAATGGCAAATATAACTTTGTTATGGTGTTATACGGTATAATGTGGTTGACTATCATTTATAAAATAATATTATGTGCATGAGAAGGTAAAGGCAAGGCTGATGTCACCACATTTAGGTTGAGGCATTACAATAAAGATTTTATTTTTCTTGTGAATGCATTAAATAATAACAGCCACAAAAATAGCTAGCAATAGCAATATTTGATATCCAGTTTGCACAAGCAGATGAATTTGATCACACATCCTGTCTATTTAGCGCACATCCTGTTTATTTAGCGCACATCCTGTCTAAATTACCACATTTAGTTCTCCTACTCATGTAAATTTGCTGTAAGTTACATGACTGTACTGCTTTAGTTTTAAGATCCAATCCACCAGTACAAGCAATGAATTTTTGATAATTTAACTTTTGGAACAATACAAATTGCTGCATGTATCTGTAATTGATTGTGAAAAATATTTTTATTACCCAATGATGTTTTCATTTTTTCGCATTTTTAAAAGCAAAAGTGAGGGTTGTACGTGTGCTCCCTATAGCTCATTTAAAAATAGATGGACTTTGTTTTTAGGATTTGGCTAGGCAGAGTACCCCATTGACTTGACATTATCTTCTATATTGTTACGCAAGGCTTTATTATGTTTAGTTATATGCATACAAAAATAGTATAAAAATAGCTGCAAAAATAGGAATATCAAGAGCATGACAGGGATTAGTGAATGATTTTTGCCACAAGACGCCTGAGTAAATATAAATTTTCGGCCATTTGCAAACATTAATCGCTTTTCCCTTTCATGTATGACATATCGTGGGATTAAATAAGTAATAAGAGGAAAATATTTATAATCCTCTCAGAACTGATACCTGGATAAACAGTCTTAAGTCGTCACTTATCTTAATGGTCGCATTCTTTAAAAAAGTGTGCGTGCTGTAGGGCATTCAAGTTCTTATGTCAATCAATTGTGTTAAAAATGTTGCTCGGTCAAGCATGTAATAGATTACGTCATCAAAAGTTCAATTCGATAAAATAAGAGTGAAAATAGTTTAAGTTAAAAGATATTGTTCACAGACGTATTGTTGGTAAATTTTACTAGTTGTTGATGATAAACATTTTAAGTTGTGAACATTTTTAAGTATTGATCGATTGAGCAGAAGACCAACTCGACTAGTGCGACAACGCCTTAAATAAACAAGATATGAGAGCTGGAACGAGCTTCTAAGACCAACCCACTGGTTACATGTACAACGCTGATTGGCTGGATAAGGATCAGCCCACTATGGTTGATGACGTATGCAAGAGTCACTGAACCCTCATTATAAAAGGGCGTGCACAGCACCTGAACCTTCAGTGGACTGACGGAGTAAAGATTAACTTATGACACGTTAAGAAGCTCAACCTTTACAGAACCAATTAACAACCTTGAGTGAACTAGCGGAGTGGACTAGCAGAGTGAACTAGCGGAGTGGACTAGCGGAGTGAACTAGCGGAGTGAACTAGCGGAGAAAATAAAAAAAGTATATGAAACGTTAGAAAAGTCACTTAACATTTGGTGCAGGATCGGCCTTACAAAACGTTTCGGAAACTCAATCAGTCTACTATATACTCAGAAGAAGTCAGAACAATCAATATTACAAACATTGCTTAGAAACGGGTGCTGAAGCGACCTGATGACTGGTTCGGAAGCGCACGTTCTGTATTCATCCATACTTCTACTTATGGCAACGCTAGACCTTATTTCACGTTTTGGATGTCTCTTCAAGACAGCTGTCCACAACCTCTACACTTCCCTCGAACTACAATCGAAACTACAGTCGTTTTGCCCTCAGTCTGCAATCCAAGACGAGTTTGATGACATGTACTCCCTCTATCTGAACGTGTTGGCTATGCCAGAAATCCAGCTAAAGAC